AAAAAAWCAYCCACARTCTTCCAAATGGCAATGATGAARCAAAAAATATTTTAAAGAGAAGCTGAGTAATTTTGCATTTGGGTGTTAAATCCACGAGTGGCGGTGTTTGCTCCTGTTTGCTCCTGTTTTGCTCCTGTCCTGGGGAATAACTGGGGAAGAGCAGCTGAGCCTGACCTTTGTGGCTGTCCCGAATGGGAGGATCTGCAGGGTTTGTGCAGGGTTTGTTGTGATTGCAGGGCTGGCATGTGGGAGCTAATCCCAGCACAAAGCGCTGCACCCCTGGGTGCTGCAGCAGCCCTGACTTTGTGCTCTTTGCACAGCTTCAGCAAGTCAGAGGAAAAAAAACTCTTTTTGAGCACTCTGTGGATGAGCCAGGAGATCTTGGGAGGCTTTAACAGCTTTTGCCACAGTTAAAATATGCTTTATACATTAAAAAATCCCAGAGTGATGCCAATTCTAATCCTTCAAGGGCACCAGAAGTGGCCTTGAGAGATGGTGGAAGAAAAAAAGTTACTGATGTAAAGTAACACCAACTCTGAAGACTCAAAAGTAACAAAATAATTTCCTAACCTTGGCTGAGCTCTGCTGCAAGACAAATATTAAAAAAGGCTTTTATTTTAGCTGCAGAGGGAAGTGTTCTATTGAACTAGGGTGCTGATAATGCCCAGTTTTCATGCTCAGTTAGGTCATTCAGCTGGATTTGGATCCCATTTTTCCTCTGACCTTCATGGATGCCTCTGATCCACTCTCTGATTTCTCTGGTTTTGTGTTTCATCCCTCCCTGATTGCTGTTGCAAACTCCCTGCCTTTGACATCTCTGCCTCTCTCAAACRGGCCCCAAATTACCCCATAAGGCATAAATGTCATGAGGGGATTGGAAGTGCAATCCCATGAAGGTTTTTTTTGGCAAAATTTATCTTAAAACATCATAAAGGTTGTTTTTTGTTTTTTGGGTTTTTTTTTTGGTAATATTTATCTTCAAATGTCATGAAGCAAACACATGAATTGCTATTATTCTGCATTTTACTAATTTTTCACATATTTAGCAGCAGTAGCAGCCTGTGCTCTCTGATTTGTTCGTTTGCAGTGCAGGCTCATCTCTAAACACCGAGAATTGGACAACAATATTTCCTGGTTCACTGGACAAATCTGAATTGTCATGCCACAGCAATTCCTTTTGTTTTTCCTTTTTGGTGCCTGCACCTACAAGAAAGCAAATTTAAACGTTACCAAATCGAGAAGAGCATTTACTATTTGAAAATGAAATATTTTGAAACTAGTATTTCTTTCATGCTAATGCTTTTACAAACCAGGTTGTTGASTGACTGACATTATTTATCTCTGCTAAAATGGGCCCTGTAAAACTTCATTTTTCTTTTCAGCCAGGCCCTCAAGATATAATATATACATTAATACAGAAGGGTTTAATTAATTCTAATAAATAACAGAGACACACTCTGCAGATGAGTGCTTTTAGTAAATTAGGTATAAGCTGCTTTCAAAGATTTCAATGAGAACTTTGCTATTGATTTAAATTCTATATTGTGGTGCAAGAGCTTATGATAATGCATTCTAGGAAAGGAAAAAATACCACAGAACATACTCTGGATATTTAATAAAGACTTCTTAATACATAGGTACCCTTGCAGCTTTGCTGTTAAATCTTTCAGAGGAGGAGGATTTTCTGTGTGCAGTTTAAAAGAATTGGGATCTGTAATATCTTTCTTTGCTCCTTTTTYCTTCCCCCATTTTGGCAGAAATGGWTTCCAATASCAGTGGCAATTTAAGAGTGTCACTTCTTTTTTTCTTACTCCAATAATGTTGTTTAGAGGGGCTTAGATTAAATTGACTTTATAATGTAGAGAATAAAGCCTGTGAAATAGGAAGGTAGAACATCCTGCCTTTTAAAAGCAGAATTATGGTTTATTGTTGTTAAATGAGAAGCAGCAGATGCTGTCAAGTGCAGTCCCTCTTTCCACCCCTTTTTCCAGCACAAACTCTTTGATGYCAAATCCCTCCAGTGCCCATCCTGTGGGATGTGGAACAGCATTTCTGCAGCTGGGAATGGAGGGGCTGTTCCTAACCTTGAATTAGTTCAATCCTGAGGGCTTTGCTAATTTTCCCTTTCAAAATAAAAAAAAACCCAAAAGATGTAAGTTGGCACATTTTGAGATTTCCTTTCTGCTTGTGTGGCTGATCCATGACTTGATGTCTCCTGGGCACTTCAGACCGAGCGGGGAATCAAATTTGAACTTTTATTTTCCCCATGAGGAAAGGGCTGTGTTTTACCTGTCCAGACACCTGAGTTTATTCCCTGGGACTGGATTATGTTTTTCCCTGATGTGAAACTGTTGGATTCCAGAGGTGTGAGTGTATCCAGGATCAGGAGAAGTCCGGGCTGGACCTGTATTCACAGCTCCCCATCCACAGCCTGAAGAGAGGGATTGAGAGAAAGCTGCTTTTGGGCAGATTAAATCCTCCTGGGAGATGTTTCCTGTGATCAGAGCAGAGCATGGAACAGGACTGGCATCTCCTTGTGCAGAATAAAACTGCTCCAGTGCCCTGGGTGAATAAAGCAGCTGCAGAGGCTGCAGGGGCACAACCCAAGGTGAGAGTGGCACTGTGATTTATGGAGCCCCRCTGCTGGAAATGACACTTTAATAGGCTCAGCAGGACTTTTTGTTGTTGTTTTGGTTGCTTTTTATGCTGCTATGAATATGAAAGCTTGAAGCCTGGCCAAGAGACAGCAAATAAATGTGAAAAAAACCCCTCTCATTTGAAGACTCTGTTAACTTCTCCCTTGGCCTACAGACAGCAGCGTTTAACCTTGCTTGTACTGTAACTAAATTACAGTTTATTGAGCAAACTGTAGAACTAAAAGAGRGAATTTCCATCCAGGAGAGAGGCTGCAGCAGCAGTGCCACACTTCTATTGTGTTTGAATTTCCACTTAAGGTCCTTCTGTCTGGTAAAATATTCCTTTTGCATCACTGTTCTTAAAAGTTCTGACAGCCAGTGATGGATTGGTGGAGAACAAAGCGTTTCAACTCAGGATATAAAAAAACCCCAACTTTTAGCTCACTGGTTGCCCAGTATTGGAAGAGAATGTTATGGGAATTGAGCAGAAATTGTGCACATTTATGCCATGTACTTGGTTGGGATGTTGTTCCAGGACCCTCAACCCCAGTTCAGCTCCAGGAAAGGACTGGGATGAACTGGCTTAGTGTGRAGCACACTCTGAATGACCTTAATTTTCATAGCTGGAAATAAAAGACAGCTCAGACCAAGTTTTTCTTGTGTATTACCATATTCACCACCTCTATTTATTTAATAAAACCATCAGTTGTCTCATTACCTGCAGTAAAGCTGGGTWARAGCACCATTTACACAAATCTCAGCCCCACATCAGATCTGGCTTTTTATTCTTCATTTGAACAATGACCAAAAGYAAACTCGTAGCTCTGAGTGCCTTTTGCAAGCACATTTTTTCCTGAGCTGTTGCACAGAATGGCTTTAAGCATTCTTGAAACACCAAGACAACTCAAGAYAGATGATAGGAGGCCTAAATGGAATTTTATTCTAATTTATTAGGGTTTTTTTTAATGTAATGGGATATCTCAATGTGTTTTCCATTCTCTTTCTGTTGTTTAGAAAAGCAAGACCAGCTTTGTGTTTTTAGTTCATTAGCACAATATTCTTGTGTGCTATACACTTAACACTTTGCAGAGCTGCAGGAGGAGGCAGAAACAAAGATAATTCATAGGGAAGAGAATAAAGGATATTTTGAATGTGGATTGAAATGAGATGAAGAGTCAGCTGAGACAGTATTAGTGCAGTTTGTTCCAGATGACAGCAGTGGGAGACACGGAGTTTGGGTGGGGGCCAAAATGTCTGCAGGGGCAGCAACACAAACTGGAATTGTGGCAGTGCAGGGAATGGAGACTCATCAGGCTCTAAAACCTGATGGGAAGTATTCTCTGGAAGTTTCCTGGTGCAAGTTAGGAACTGTGTTTGTGATGTCATTCTGTGAAGGTAGAAATGTTTTCCTGGCCTGGAATGTGAATTTGTGGATTTTGAGGAAATAAAGGGAAGGGATGTTGAGCAGTGAAAGAAGAAGGTGTGGARGATAATGGGAACTGAGCAGGGTGGGGTATCACAGATAAATACAGGTGGTGATAGATTTATGGGCAGCTGACAAGGGAGCAAGTGGGAGGCAAAGCTTTGGTCACCCAAAGGCTGTGGCAGGGGATGAAATGGAGTTTTGGTTTCACCCAAAGGTTCTGAGGAGCAGTTTTTGGGTTATTCAAAGCACCKACCCCAAATGAGATGGTGTTTCCAGCAGCAGCAGAGGCGGCTGCAGGGGCTGGCACAGATGCTGTGTCAGCAGCCTGGGGYTCAGCCCTGCTTTGGACAATCCATGGCTTCAGTTTTCTTTACAACTTTTGGCAGCAAGYGTGAAACTTTGAGAGCGTTCATTGCTGCTCTGATGGATGGGGGAGTGAGGAGCCTCTGTACTCCAGAATTAATTTTCTGTATTCTGAGCTCTTCCAAATRCCTCTTTAGGGTTTGATTGATGCTGCTGCTTTTTATATTTGCCCAATAAAATATATTACACACACACCCCCAAGGGTTTTTATGGCACAGGTGTCTGGCTTTCCCTGTGCTGAGGTTTATTCCTTTCTCTGTGGGTGTGGATTCCTAATGTTTTAGAACCTGCACAATGGAAAACCATACATAAAGTTAATCTAGTTTATTTCTT